AAAAAACAAAGATTTCAATGTGAATTAAAATGTTCTAATATTCTAGAGGTCTGAACTAGATAATTTACTTTTTTTTTCTTTTTACTATGTCACCTTTTATAAGCAAACTGTCATTCCAATTTCACTAAGAGTATATAATTGTTTGCATTTATTCGTACAGCTTGTTAACATTGCATTGGAGTTGACGTTACATGACCTGCGAGTCTATTAGCAAGATTTGATTTAGTTTTTTTCCATAAACGGTCTAGAGTAACTCAGTTATCGTAAATCTGACAAACAATATCTGCCTTTTCTGTAAATACAAATTTGTTATATATAATCAATAAGTCTGTAGAATAATGATAAAGCTTTTTAGACATATTTTTCAATATCATTAACGTGGGGGATAATTCTATAGATCAAATATTATACACTGAAAACGTCAATTAAAAATTGACTAACTACGTTTCGGGATGTGGATTTATTGATTCAGTGTCGTGTATATTGAGAGAGCTACATTCAGGATATCAATAGGAATGCTATTTACAAATGAAACATTGTTTGAAATACCGAATTTTCAGATAGTTGCAGATGTACTCTGGAAAATAGACATCACAAATCCTAAAAGGCATTTCCTTGAGACTAATTAGTGTTAATCAAGGAAACGTTGAAGTTAAAGAAGATTGTGATTAAATACTTGGATAGAAACGAGTGCAATTATTTTATATATGCTCCTTTTTAACATTATCCACCATTTTTTAATAATAAACATATTCTAATAAAACAGAAAATTCAACTATTGTACAACCTGTTAATTTTTCTTGATTGTTGGGCTATTTGCTCACTTGGTGGTAGTAATAAAACTAAAAAGGTCTTTATTCCACTCTCTAGTTTCACTGCTCGGAAAATAACGTCACTTTTTTTTTTTTTTTTTTTCTCCAAGAAAAATGCAACCAACATAAGGAAAAAGTCAGGTTACCAGATTGTCAGCTTCAGCTGCGACACTTTTTTTTCAACACCACTGGCTATATTTATTTTATTTTATTTTTTTGTCTTTAGATTAGTGCAGGATCGCCCGCAACGTGGGTTATCGCACATATCAATATCATCGATACTGAAACACATACGTCGTCTGTTATTGGTCTTTCTAAACTTTTAGCAAGTGTCAATGAATAGCAATGGGTGTAGCTTTTTCAGCATGATGCAACCTCTTTTTGTATGAGTTTTCACGTCAGACAAGCTGTTTTGGTTTGGAGGTGCGGGAACTTCTACAACCATACGCTTTCATGTCGTAGGTACCAAAAAAAGTCCTTGCTTTCAGAGCGTAAGAAAAACTCAAGCATTGACTTTTCGAAAAGTCATAAAATGAAAATTCATTTAAAATACATGGTTAGTCGGCTAGGACTTTTTTTATATAATTTAAAAACATTACAAAGTAGTCTTTTTTTTTCTTTTTTTTTTTTTAACAAAAAAAATAGTATTAATCATGAACGACTATTTATGCATATAACTTGAAAGTTGTAATATTTCAGGAAGTAGCCATTACCCATCCACTGGCATCTTTTGATTTAATGAATTATTGATTTCAAACCACTAGAGTAACGCTTGATAAAGAAATTCTCAAAACCTATTCAATATCTATGCTTTATTCATAATAGAATCGACTGTTGCATCATGTAACATATGTATTGTAATAATCGAATGCAGTTCTCTGGTTCTATTACTTGCGAACACGTTCCTCTTCACTCAAAAGCAAGTGTTTAACACAAACACTTCAATTAAATTGATCTGCTGAATCCTGCATGGTAGATAAAGCCAAGATGGTTTACTTTTTTAAATAAAGAATTGCACATAGAGGTAATAAGTCTTGCAACTATTTCAGCCTGTCAAACTGTAGCTAGATTTCTGGTCCTAGCTTATTTTTATTTGATTTGCGAAATCACAACGATAGCTTTTGCAATCAGGTTTGTATAAACGCATACATGAATTTGACGCTTATAGTTTAATTATATTTTTGCAAATCCTGGATTTTTCACAATTTTTAAATACGAAAATGCTAATTTGAAAAAAGCGATTTCAAATGAAATTTACTTGTCAAAAGTTGACGCCGAAACCTTGATCCACTTTTTGTCACTGCCAAATTGGTGTTATGGAGAGAATTTTCCTGAAAATATTCTGATGAACCTAAAATTATTCAAAATTTCTGTCGGTGAAATTGTTACGATTTGTTAGTTTAAAAGACTTGATAACTTTATTTTTTTATTTTTGTTTTACATCTTTATTTTTTCTCAAATTTTGGTAACTTATGTTTTCTTTTTTTTTTTTTTTTTTTTTTCTTTCTTTAGATTGTATAAAAGCGTGAAAATGTGATGCTAGAAAAATCATCTCGACCGAGTGACAAGTGTGTATAAATTCTTCAGCTGCTAAAATGATCCCATGATTTGCTGGCCGCCATCATGAAATGCTAGACAGTATCGAACAGGACTGCTACTCAAATTATAGATGTAACTTAATCATCCCGGTTATTGGTGCATATCAAATGATCTGCAAAATCTGTCAGTTGTCCCCAGAAAAAGTTTAGATATTTTCTTTTCGGTAATTCAATCTTAATCGCTTAGCTTTATTTAGAAAAATTCAACTCTGTCCACACGATGTTAGTAAGATACAAATAATAAACGCTTTGTTGTTTGTAGTTAATGATTCTGTCAGAAAAATTTACCAACACTAGACGTAGGAATAAAAAAAAAAACCTAGTATAGGCTAAGATACAAACTACTTTGATAAATGTATCCAGTTTATGATAATTCAAAATTATCAGGTTTAAGCTGGTCCAATTCTTAACTGTTTACTAAGCTTGGATTAATTTCTACACAAAGCCACAACGAAGAGGAGTAAACACTGAGGACAGAACTCGCAATTCGTAGTAATAATAACTTACTACCATAACGAAACGCTTAGTCTGCCAATAATGAGTGTTAAGGTTAATGCAAAACGTCCGTTCTGCCGATATTCCGTTAATAGCGTATGTTTTTGTCTATGTTGTTTATATTTGCCTACATCCTAAATGTTAATACAGGATGTGGAATAAATACCTCCCACATAATAGCAAGACAGCTAGGTGAAGACATTGTTACGTAAGTTCACTAGCATCACACCGATGACAGTTTAATATGCGGGAGGTATTTCTGCCGCAGCCTGTAGTTGCTTGAATACAACAGCCAAGAGATTTTTTGTTTGTTCGATCCCAGTATCTAGGAGAGTTAGTGATTTCATTTCTTTTTAAATATTTACTTATCTCTTTATTTAATTAATAGGTTCACTCCCCTCCCTTTGCATATCATTGTAGATACTCCACCACACTTACAAAATTTTTATATTTTGTAATAAAAAAAAAAGTTTGTACATATATCCAGACATTTACCATTATGGATGTATTATTAGTCAAAGGGTGGCGGAATGGATAGTGGCTTGGATTGAGGAATCGGAGAGACTAGTTCGAATTACAGTCGAATCTGAATCTGTTACATTCACTTACGTCCTAATACCATTGGGAAAGATATGAATCCTATTCTTCTCCACATACACCCCACAGCTATGGGCAAATGGCAGAACAGACCGAGTTCTATAGCCTTGGATGGTAACTGGCCTACCGCAAAAAGAAATGGCAACCTACTGCGGGAAAAATGACTCGTCAGTCATGAATCGAAAGATACATGATCGCCTAAGCGTGTATCACGCATGGCACATAACTATTACACCCTCCCCATCGTGAATACGCGGTATTTTGGTATTTGTTCGGACTGAATGGAGAGGGGTGAGTTCTTGTGGTGTCTGTGTCAATTGTTAGAATGAATGTGCTGTGGATTGAATTAGCAGTATCTATTAGAGATACGGAGTGTTAATCTGTCCAACATGGCATATCGGGTAAAAGCAATGACTTGACCCATAAACATTCACATAAAATACATTTATGAAAGTGCATAGTATTGATGTTGATATCGCTAATTTCGCTCATGATAGCTCGGCTCTCATTGTGTTTGGTAAGACTGTTTATAAAATAAGTGTCAGCTTGAAATCGCTTTTGTTTGTCAACAAATAACGACTAAATTTATGATTACCAGTAGAAGTTAAGAAATATATTTTAATTTGCATTTTTCAAATTATAAACACCGACCATAAGTGATAAGATTTTAGACTAGCGTTTACATTTCTCGTAATAGATTTTGCTCGTCTTAGTGTGAGATTGGCAACTACAGACCATTGAATATCCTGTTAATATTAATTTTTACATTATTTATCTTATGTATATAAAAACTATCTAAATATGAATGAAAATTCCTATATATATTATATATTGGCTGAAATATACAAAAATGGAATATATAGGACTTGGAGTATCGGCTTGAAAGTAAGAAAAAGATGCTTTTACCAATCACTTCCCAAATGTTTGTTCAATATTGTTCTAATATCGAAGAACTTCAAGCCCCTTAGCATTTTTCATAGGATATTGCGTTTGTGAGACTTTCATTTGCAATTCTTTAACAGATTATTTCTTTACAAATATCAAAGGATTTTTATTATTTGAGTCAGTTGTTTGGTTAACTTGATATGGAAGAATTCGTAGAAATAGTATGAAATAAAAATTAAAGGATAATGCATAACCATGTGCTATGATTAGCAAATTAGTCTCGAAGTTTATTACAACTGAGTAGCGACTTTGATCTTCATTTGTATTATATCAAAACTCTTTCATTCCTAAGGTACCATGCGTGATGAACGCTTGGACGATCTTGTCTCTTTTCGTTTCATGACCGACTTGGCAGAAGAATTCCCGCGGTAGACTGCTGTTACTTTCTGGAGTAAACTGGTTGCCAAACTGGGATATATAGGACCCCGCCTGCCCTGCTATTTAACCCATAGTTGGGAGAAGTGACGAATTCATATCTTTTTAAGGGAATTAGAACTCTGCTCTCCGATTTCTCCTTCCTAACTGTTATCATTACACCAACCATACACCCAAGCTTACAATACCTGGTATTCTCAAGCGGTCACCTAGCTAGGTACTGAACAGCCTCAATGTTGCTTAACATCGGTGATCGGACGAGAATCGGTGTTTCAACGTGATATGGCCGTATGAAAACTAAGCTACAAACCCCAAAGTGTGTGTGTGAGATATAGAGATATAGAGATATATAGATAGATAGATATAGATATTTTATTTACATGAAGGAATGTTTTAAATTTTTGAAGGTGTGATTTAACAAGTTCCTGGGAATTGGAATAGAAGTTCTTTTAGATCATGTAACTTAAATATTTGCAGTAAAATGTGTATTCCTGCACTAAAAAAATATATACACTCCTTTAAAGCTGTTCTTCATTATAATTTTAAAGTAAATTATATACGAGTTCTTTTCTCTACAAAATGAAGAATAAGGTAATCTAAATAACACTAAACATAAAAATCCCCGAGCGAAGAAGGTTTTACAATATATTCAGAAAATAATGAATAGTAAAATCATTCAACGAAGAATTTCCACAAGATTACATTAAAAACTCGTTCTACGTGATGGAAGTTATTGAAAAATGTTGTGGCGCTTTCGAAAGCGGGATACTGTGAACTTGTCAGTGGAATAACAATTATGTAAGCAAATTCAAAAATACCATCCACAAGAGAATCTCCATTTACTGATATGCTGCCAACCGATTTATTACCAGCAAGACTTATCATCTACGGAAGGCGCCATAGAGATGGAAAAGACGTCGTCGACAGAGGTGCCGGTTTTGTCTTTGGTTATCTAGCTGAATGATTGGATCTGATACTTCATAAAGCTAGGTTACCAAAGGCAAAAATGGCGACCAAACACAGCGACATCCGAGGTACGAGAAGGATGACAAGATACGTATAAGAAAGCATTGGGTGGGGAAAACACTTCGCCGAAACTGTGCTATTCTTCATGCTATGTTTTTCTGGTTGTTTTTGTTTTTTGTTTGTTTTTGTTTTTGTTTTGTTTTTTTCTTACTTTCAATCTTGTACTTTTTTCTTTTTTTGAATTTTTTTTATGCAACTTTAATCATTTTTATTCATACCAGCATTATTTAACTCTAGCAAGGATATTTTCTAAATAATTTGAGTTGTTAAAAAGAATTAACATAAATCTGACTAGATGTATAAATAGCTACTTTTAAAAAAAAAAAAAAGTATATTCCATATTCAGGAAAGGATCTGAAAGTTAAACAACTTACGAATTTTATAAATTCGTTCAACTTTTAGAGCTGTATCTGTAGTTCTTTTCCATGAAACTACCTTTCGCATTTTGACTAAAATAAATTGTGAGATTAAATCATAGCCGTCGTGACAATGTCAAAAGGCGGGAATAATTGAGAAAATAATTATCATTCAACCAATCATCGCACCTCAAATGAATCATTGAACTTATGAGTTCATTTTTTTCCTTTTTTTCTCTCAATGTCACCACTTGTTGCTCCACAGACATGTTTTTTTTTTCTCTCCGATTGAGAAATACGTGCCCTGCTATATCAAGGACCAGACTGACCGCCGAATAATAAATGCTTTTGTGCAGTTAATAATGGCTTTCGTGCATTGCTGACATCGTTGTTATGAATTAAAAAAATCGGTCGAACTTTAGTGAGTTTGGATTTAAACAAATCTTTTGCTGCATTAAACTGTGGCGATTTTTGAAGTATGGTAGATAAAAATAACAATTATTTACTTGCTTCGTTAGGCACTGTTCTAATCCTAATATTTTATCTAATTTCAACTCTAATTTTTTTCCAAAGTGGGGTTTAATTGTGTAATATGTTTAAACTTTTAATTTCAATTTAAGAAAGTAGGTATTAGTCTAATATTTTTGAGGCAATGAAAACGTCGAACAATGGAAAATCATTTTAGTTGACATGTACATTTTTGCATATACGCTCGCCCAAATCACTTTGAAAAATTGTAAATTTTTATATAACTGTAAAATAATATAAATCTAATTGTATGAAATTTTTTTTTCATTTTTATCTTGCTGAAATACCTTTTTCAAATTCTTAGGTAAAAAAAAAAAAAAAATAAAGTGATGTGAAATTTTTTAATGAAAGCTAGTAGAGGCACACTTCATAAGTATTGCAGTTCGGTTACCGGTCAACACAATATGGAAAATTAATTTTTCCGTAGCATATGAAAGTTAAGTATGAAGTAATATTTTTTTTTAAGTGAATTGGAAAAAGAAAATTAATCACATGTTAAAACAACGCTGAATTAATTACTTTTATGGATTTATTGTTTAAATTATTACTTTCAAGTAATTTCAGTATATTTGCTTAGAATAAAGTAAGAAAAACATTGATGTTAATTCCCGAGTTTGGTTGTCTTCAACTCGTTTCGTTTTAAGATATTGTGTAAGTGGAGTTGGTGAGAGCAGTTTTAGATGAAGGAATGTGCAAACCTTGACGCGTTTCTCTAACTTCAAGCAAATGTTAATCTTAAATTTTGGAGTGCCAAAATCTTCGTTTTTCAAACTATATAGGTATTATATTTATCAGTAGATATACACACTTATCTTACGTAAGTATCACGGATTTTATACACTCACAAATGTAATGACTAGTAAACCTCTCTAGATCGTTATGATACTTTTTGTATGTATGTATATTTATTTATTATATTACTTAAAACGTTGTTTTTAGTGGGTACCTGTATTTGAGTAATCACTCTTTTTATTTTAAACAATATTTATTTCGTCTACCGATCTGCACACCAGAAAGAACTTATTAAAGAAAGGGAACGTTTTCATGGCGTCCACTAAAATAACGTTTGATGTAATAAAAATTTAAGGCTGCAATATATAATTGCATAAAGCTTAGTATAAAGAAAACGAAAAATGGGGGGGGGACTGCAGTCAATTGCTGCAACCTTCTGACGAGAGGACCAAACAATTACAAAAGGTTAGTCTACGAAACCAATCCGGAGTAACAAATTTTTCCCCTTAAATATATGCCGTAAATTGCGGCGTACAAGTCGTCGTCAGAATTTTTAGCTCGAAATTCTGAGTTGGGCCTATATCTACCGTATAGGTCGACCGCTAACTCTATATATTCAATAAACGGCCATTACGCAAATGACACGCCTATAATGACTAGTTGTCAGAATGACCGGCTGAGTTAAACGGCGCTCCGGTCAGTGTTTACACTTTGTGTATCAGCTGTTGGACGCGATATGTGATGTAGCGTTAATAGAATACTGAATTTATCTTGCTATTTTATTTTAATTTATGTTAATATTCCAAATATGTTCACCAGACACAAGTTTTAGTTGAATATATTTGTGGCAGCCTGCTGAAGGTACGATAAGTGGTATATAGTAATTAAGTGCTGCCCCACTTTTCACATCTCTGCAGTAAAGGTTTGCATTTTTATACCCGCCATATAAGTCGACCTCTAGTTTTTGAGATTTTTTCAGACTTGAAATCTCGATTTGTATGCCGTAATTTGTTTACATTTTGTCTTTTTCATTTTTTTTAAAGGAAAAATGTTTTAACTTAAATTGTATAATTGTCATTATAAATACAGTTTTCCTCATTAAAAAAAAAAAAATTATAAACCCTTTTTATCTTGCAACGTGAGTCAAAACCGCTTAAATTTCAATTTCATGCAAATATCTTCAATGTCGGCGTTTTGCTACTGCATACTCTAAAGTCACTTCATCATATTTACGTTTAGTCCCTGATGTCGGTTTTTTTTTTTTATAGTTATTTTGAGAAAATATTTCAATAAACGTATTTTAATAACATAACTTCTCTTCTGGGTCTTTCCTTTAACCCAAATTCAATACTGCGCATGTTCACTTAATTTTATTTAACCCAAAATTTGTTTCTTTGTTTGGTATGTTTTCACCTTGTAAATGGCATCTGCTTAGTTATTGTTGCTATGTTGTGTTTGTTGACGTGGCGATCAATGCATCTACTAGTTAACAACAGCTTGCAGCGTCAAATGATTTCATTGATTGAAAGATCCGGTAAGAGCAAAAATTAGCATTGGCTTGGTGTGAGCGGCAAATTGTATATGAATGAACTTCAATGTCCCCTAAGTAAAATTACTTAAGAAATTTAGAAGAGTGTTTTTTTTTTTTTTTTTTGTTTTTTTTTTTGTTTTTTTTTTCCTTTGGGAGATGGTGGTAAAATTGTTTTTGGTTTTTCATATTACGCTCTCGTTCACTGCTACTTGGATACATAAGAAAAATGGCTATAAATTATAGACTGCTGTATACGGGCAAACAATGGTCCGAGCGATCTTCAGCTACTTAAATCCAAAGAACACTTCTTTCTGGGTGAGGTTGAAGATGTCCTAATGGAACTGTCCATCAATGCACGGATTACAGCCCTTAACGAGGAAACTGAAAACAAACAATAGGATATAATGTATGCTCAACTCTAGCTACATTTACAAAACTTGTCATTTAAGGCAGCACAAGGCCACGCATGATCGAACTCGCTAAAGCGGTAACGGCCCTCCGAAACTATCTTGCTAATAGCCATCCCGAGACGAAACACGGTGTGTCTGTATGCGAAAATATGTAACATTAAATTTGAGCAAATATCTTGTTCTGAAAACATCTAAAAACTTTCAGAATTGTCACAATATCCAGGCGCCTCTGTCTGGGGTAATGACTAAAGAGCTAGTAAAGTTGATCTTTATTGGGTAGTGTGTTCGTGCCGAACTAAGCTAATCTAAGAAAATAACCATAATCTCTGCAAACGGGCTTTGTTAGGGTTATTTTAAGGCTTTTACTGCTGTGGACAGTTATACATCGTTACGAAACTTATGGCTTGCTGTTGACGTACATATACTCTTCAAGACAACGTACAGTGCCTGTTCCTGGCGTTTGTAATATAAACAAACTCGCGCTGATTTTCAAACCAGTATAGTAGCGTACAGTACAATTTTTTTTGTAACGTATTTTATTATATTGCGTGTTCAAGGTGTCGCTAAACTTCGCCTGTATTGTAGAGTATCTGATCGAGGCCAAAATTGCGGCACACATGAGAAATCGATTCCAGCTTATTTGTGCAGTTCATTTGTTTCCAATAAATGACAGTTTCCTATCTCTCACTCCCAAGACTGGTAGGCACGA